ATTTGATGCGGTTGCACCTCAATCTAGACAAAGAATAAAATTGATCCATTAACCTTCTGATCCGGCTACTCCTCGAATTGATCCATTTGTAAACACGCATGGAGCATTCATCATCCAAACATTCACACACATGGCAAGTACAAAACATCCATTTCACATTCCGGTCTAGCCATGCACGCATCATCTTTTCCCCCCAAAGATAACCATTTTCCATAATCACATCGTCAATGCATTCCATACATATAACCATCCATATTATAGTAATCAATCATGTACACACACTCCATAGTCCATTAGTCAATCATGTATACTCACATTCGAGTTTGCCATATTACGTGTCTTTTATCTTTTACTTTGTCAAGTCATCCACTCCCCCAGATATACTAGTAGATGCATAAAGCATCCCCAGTAGATACATAAAGCATACCTAGTACACCAAGCCTTGTATCACTCTCCCAAAGAGCTAGAGATATAGCCATAATATCCAATCTCATAGAGTGCATGACAAGGCACCATTAGGTTTTTTTATTAAGGTAATCAAACAATTCTTGTTTAGTTAGTCACAATACAAGTAGCGAGCATAGCATCAATCGCATACCATTCGTATGTTTGTGTTTAATATCATTCGCACATTTACATTGACCATTCCATATGAGTACATCATCGCCTTTTGGCTTCCCATTTCACATTTCACCTTATAGGCTTCCTAGTATCACACTATAGCCAATCAGGCTATCCAGTATCCCATCATCTCCTTGTAAGCTTCCCAGTACTGTAACATAACCTTTTAGGATATTCCATATCATATTTTCATTCATAATCATTAAGGATGGCAACGTGTCGGGTCGGGGACGGATAGTGCATATCGGTTATCCTACTCAAATTAGTTCAAATTTCACTCATACCCACATAAGAAATGGGTATAAAATCAAAACCATGTTCATACACGTTTGGGTTTCGGGTATCCACGGTTATCCATTGGTAATAATTTCTTTTTATAACTCCAACTAAGATGTTAACATTCACACGTTTTCTCACATTACATAAGAGGAAAAGTATGACAATAATTCACTAGAATGAAAAAACTTAACTAAAACAACACAATTCTATAAAAATATTATATGTATATGCTAAATATAAAATATGTTAGAGAAAAATAATAATTATATCGAGAATATATACACATGTGTATAATCAGGCGGGTTCGGGTTGGATAGTGCGAAAATCATGTCCACCCATTACCCACAGTATTTGGGTTCGGGTTTTACCCGTACCCACTAAAAATTTTTCGAATTTGGGTTTTACCCGTACCCACTGAAAGTCTTTCGAATTCAAGTTTTACACTACCCTATTGGTCGGATTCGCCGAGATATCCACGGTTACGAATATTTTTGATTTCGCTAATAATCATCACCTTCCACACATATCATCACATAGAAATTATAAACATCGCATTCATTCATCATTCATTACATATCACTTCATTCACACAGGGATAGGATAGAATAACAACACCCTATCTGTTGTTACCGTAACAACATATATCATTAAGGGCAAAATTGGAAATTTACAATAAAAATAAAGCTTTCCCTTCCGCTGTGTTCTCTCCGCCGCAGCGAGTCCCAAACGGACGCCGCAATCGGCAATGCGCTTCTGAATCTCCACGACGGTCGCGAGAGGGTTCATGTTGGTGACGACGGCGCCGGCGTATAGGACGGCGAGGAAGACGACGGGGAAGCAAATTGAATTGGGGAGGATGAGCAAGACGACATCACCGTGGCGGATGCCCAATTTGTGGAGAGCAGAGGCTGTGGATTTGACGAGGGGGAAGACGTTTTGGTAAGAGATTGAGTGGCTGGAAGCGGAATCGAGAAAGGGCGGCTGCAGAGGAGGAAGAGGTGTGTGGTGCATCGCGACGGTGATGGGAGAAGATGAAAGAGACGAGGTCGAGGAGAGGGTCGGCGGGGAGAGCGACGGCGGCGTGTGGGTGTGCACGTTACCCTCTTCTTCCCTCAGCCTTAGGTGATTAATTCCTTAATTAATTCTCATTTTCATTTGTTTCTATATATATACCCTTTCTAATTCTACAGTCAATTTACAGAGCACCTCTCCACCGCCTTCCCCTGTTTTCCATTTCCTCCTCCTTCCTTCACTCCCACCACCACCACCAGCAGTAGAACTGTAGAAGGCTAAGCCGGAGACAACCGTGAGATTCTTTTGCCGGCAAGAAGATGGGCTCCTCCTCCCGCCGACGACAATGTGGCGGTGGCGATGCTCTGTTTTCCCATTCCCACATCCTCCTCCTCCTATGGTAAATTCACTACACCTTTTTTTCTTTTTTCTCAATTCCATTCACCAGGCTGGGTGTGCACGTTATGCATAATTGTCTGCTGGGGATTTCAATATAAGCCGTGGAACGGAAGGTTGGAGTTCTCGAATTTGGCGGGCGACTAGTAGATGTTCTCGAGATTTTAGTTTATTGGCAATTAATGATTACGGTAGTAGTAGCTAGGACTAGTGTTGTCTTAGGAATAACATAATCGGCGGCTGCAGATGGAGTAGGTCCAACTCCTTTTCTGACACTCGGTGCTGAGCAATGTGTAACCAACAAGGTTGAAACTTGTCAGCCCATGGCGGCATGAAACATGCATTTGCATGCTTTGTCTGGTGTCATCAAGCCAGAAACAGCAGTATTCTATCCATTCTATATACATGCTTCCGTATGTATATATCAGAAACTCTATATTGGTGTTTAATAATTCTAATCACACATATTTCCAACACCAAAAAGCTACCTAGTGCAAACCACAAACGCAATAAAACAACCCACAAAACACATACCGGAAACCTCCTAATGCAAACCACAAATTCGCTAAAATATATAAAAAAAACCCACAAAACAAACCATAAATATTTTGCAAAGCACACCAGAAACCCCCTAATACAAACCACAAACACGGTAAAACAAACCAAAAACGTCCTAATGCAGACCACAAATATATTAAAGCAAACCACAAAAGTTTCGAAAGCACACCAGAAACTTCTTAATGCAAACCAGAAACCTTCTAATGCATACCACAAATCTCCTAAAACAAACCACAAACCTCACAAAGCAAACCACAACATTTACGAAAGTACACCGAAAACCTCCTAATGCAAACCACAAACACAGTAAATCAAACCACACAAAAGCAAACCATAAACGTTCTAATGCAGACCACAAATATATTAAAACAAACCAGAAACCCATCAATGCAAACCACAAAATTTTTTGAAAACAAACCAGAAACTTCTCAATGCAAACCACAAACAGGATAAAGCAAACCAAAAACTTCTCAATGCAAACCACAAACGCGATAAAGCAAACCACAAAAGGCATACAAAAATATGAGAAACCAAACCATAAATCTCACAATGCAGACCATAACATCCGGTGGTCGTTGGCCGTTGACCGGTCAACGAAGACCTTTGACCGGTCAACGAAGACCTTTGACCGGTCAACGAACTTCGTTGACCGAACTCCGGTGACCGTCAGTCAACAGATTCCGGCGCCGATAGGCATATTCCGGCCCCGATGACTAGATTCCGACGCCGGTAAGCATATTCCGACGCCGGTGAGCATATTCCGGCGACAATGGCATATTCCGATGCCAAAATAGCATATTCCGGCGACGAAAAAGCATATTCCGGTGACCGCCGACCATTTTCCGGCGACCGATGGCTGAATTCCGGCGACCAAAATTTTGGGCCGCAAAAATAAAAAAGGGTTAATTTCATGGTTGGTCACTGAGATTACAAAAAACGTTCATGTTTAGTCACTGGAAATATTTAAATCCAATCTTGGTCACTCAAATTAGTTAAATGGTTCAAGTTTGGTCACTCTCCGTCCAACTCCGTTAAATTTGTCTGATGTGGCAGTCAACCCTCAAAGTTGACCGTTAAATCAGTGACGTGGCAATTAAAAAATAATAAATAAAATAAATTTTAATCTTCTACCATTTCCAACTCATTTTCAGTAAAATAAATAAAACATAAAATATTATAATTACAAATTAAAAAGGGTGCTTCCTCCGCCACTACGTCCCTTCTCCGCAACCAAACAAGCTCTCAATTCCCACCCCTAGCTCTGCCCGCTGTCGCCGTCCCCGCCGTTCCCCGGTCATAATCACCTGCACCTCCTCCACCCTCAACCCCGCCCCTTCCTCCAACTCCATCAACGCGCAGCCGACCGGAGACGGGCAGCCGACCCAACAACGCGCAGTAGGCGGAGTGAGCAATGAGGAGGAAATTGAGATGCAGATTCGTGATGCTGCTTCTCCGCCGTTTGAAACCCAGCAGCCGGTTGCTATGTCTTGGAATGATAATGGCGGCCTTGCCGATTCTGTTCAGAGCTATCCGCAAACCCTTGGTGTCGATGGTGGTGAGCATTCTAATTCTTTCCCAGTGTGCCACTCCAGTAGAAGATTCGTCGATGGTGGAAATTTGATGATGCTCGACGACACTCTGCCGCCGCCGTTGTTTACTGATAGTCAGGGGATTCAATTTCAGAATTGCAGCAGCCATGTTTTTGGAATGTATCCAAACGTGTCTCCCCTTCACGAAGCGCTGCTGTTTGGTGTATGGGCCAATTATTTCAATTAGTAATTATAATATTTTTTGTTTATTTATTTTACTTTATTGTGAAAATGAGTTGGAAATGGTAGAAGGTTAAAATTTATTTTATTTAATATTTTTTAATTGCCACGTCACTGATTTAACGGTCAACTATGAGGGTTGACTGCCACATCAGACAAATTTAACGGAGTTGGACGGAGAGTGACCAAACTTGAACCATTTAACTAATTTGAGTGACCAAGATTGGATTTAAATATTTCCAGTGACTAAATATGAACGTTTTTTGTAATCTCAGTGACCAACCATGAAATTAACCCAAATAAAAAAATATTTTCATAATGACAATTATATCCCTGCTTTGATTTTACACTAGGTCAACTCATCTAATAAAAAGTCATCACAACTCTACCTTCCTATTGATTGGAAACTAGTGTTGTTACAATAACAACACAAGGAGTGTTGTTACCGTAACTGGTCCCATTCACACATATACCACAATCCACCAAGACATATTGAACCCCCTCTTATTATTATTTATTTATTTATTATTTGCTGCATATATATATTTAAGTACGTAGTAAGGACAACATAGCCGAGCGATGGAACTAAACGACGAACCGCAACCACGCCTAGCTACCAAACAAAGGTACGTAGATACATACACATAGCAATGCTGCATGCATGCACGCACTTAGCTTTTGATCATGGGGTCGGGAATTACATCGAACCATACACACAGGAGATGCTCACTTCTTGGTGTGGTGAACATCGATATCCTTGCTGAGATGAACAAGGAATTCCATGAAGGAGAAAGGCTCGGCGATATCCTCGTTCAGCTTCTCGTAGTCCAAAGTCCAGTGGATGAGACTAGTGTTGTCAGATTTGGGAGTCGCCTTGACCACGATCTTCAACTCTTTGTATTCCTTGGTAAGATCTCCTTCGATGACCTTGAAGGTGATCGACAGATTCACATCATCAATGTTTTCGACTATTTCCTTGGCCACCTTGTGAGCCCCATCTGATCAGCATACATATATAAATTCGAGTTATTAAAACCAATTAGTACGTAGATATAGTCGCAGTTAAAGATTGCATGCATCAACGTAACTTACCATGGATATAGTCCCAGTTGAGTAGGGCGCCCTTTTGGCCGAAATCTCCTCCATGGAGAGCGCAGTTCTTGATCTTGGTGGGTGCCATGTTGGAGACGTGGTGTGGCCTGCCGCTGAAGATTTCATGGTGTTGAGTAGCAGCAAGTCTGATCCCAAAACATGCCTCAAGCTTTCCTCTCAGCAAACTCATTTCCTTAATATCTAGCTTTTGCTGCCTGTTAACTTGTGTGTGTGTTGGTGGTGGGAAAAATGTGAGGAAACAAGTGTTGATCTTATAAAGGGAAGCTGGGTGTACTTCTGGGGAGAAGGGAAGATATGGTGCTGAGTGAGCCAGCAATGGGATGTGTATATTTAGTAAAGACGTAACTGGATTTGGCTATACTTACTCGTGATCTTCGTACACATTTGTGTGATGTTATATCATGTAATTAAGAAACAGAAGATATATACATAGTTGTACTTGTACTTGTGATGTTAATGCGCGCGTTGATCATGACGGTGATATCCCATGCATGTATATTAATTAAACAAGAGAATGGGGAAAAGGAAATGTGCACAAACGAATGAGACAAGCCGTCCATATGTTTCATCACTTTTAACAACCTAATAAGCAGCAAACCAGCTGTGCTCAATTTTCTTGGTAATAAAATGACGGGCTTAGTAGCATAACTTGTCTCTTTATTATGACTAGGACGAAAACCCGCACTTCGCGGCGGGTATTGATTTGTTATTGTCAAGTGAACCAGTGAATTATAAAATGAAGCCAGATACTGAAATAATTTGTTTCTTTGTATCCGGTAATCGAAATTAAGGTAGAATGAAGAAAAAAACTTAAAAATAAAATGTTGAGTCGTAGTTCAATTATTGCAGACTAAGAAATAAAAATTACTCCCTCATGTATTTTGTTGTTGGAGTTTTTCCTCTCGTTTGTTCTTCCTTTTGATTCAGTAGTCTTGCTAAGATAGGAGGAGATGGGGAGATGAAAGAGAGAGGAACGAAAGACAGAGAGTGATGAATGGTGGAAAGAGATGAGAGAATTAAATGAAAATTAAAGTAAATCTAAACTAACCAAAATGAGTCAACATAATTATCATAATAACACAAAAACTCCTCTTATCTTTTGTTAATTATAAAAAAGAGCACTTTTTGTGATGTGATTCTACGAAAGAGTATTTTAGAATTCTCTCCAATCAGTTTGACAAAGAGGGGTAAGTTTCTAACAAAATCCACACGTGACCCAATCTGTTGATCACAAAAGCGGGTACAACTCGTCCACAACAAAAAAAAAAAATCAAAACTGGATTCTACTCGATAAAGAGGAGCAAATTTGTATCAAAATCCACACTCGACCCAATTCATTAAGTACAAAAGCGGGTAAAATTTATTCCCCACCCAAAATGCGGCAACAACGGTACTTGCTCGAATTAGCATGAACAAACATGAATATGGGTTCAATTCAATTGTCATAAGTCGTGGGTTCAATTAGGGTTCAATTCCAAAGTGACCCAAATTTTGTGAAAGCTGGATTCAACTTCCTCTGTCCGGTTTAATAAAGCGGGGTGAGTTTTTCACAAAATCTACATACAACCCAATTCGTTGATTACAAAAGCGGTAAAAATCATCCTCGACCCAAAATTCGGTAACACTGGATTCAACTCGATAAAGCTGGCCGGGTTTGTAACAAAATCCCCGCCTAACCCAAATTGTTAACTAGTTAAGTACATAAGCGGGTAAAATTTGTTCTCGACCCAAAACTCAACAACACCGATACAGGTCAAATTAGCATGAACACACATGAATTTGGGTTCAACGGTCATAAGAGGTGGATTCAATTTGGGTTCAATCCCAAAGGGACCCAAAATTTATGAACACGTGAATTAGCATGAAAACACAAGAATTTCTCCAACCGATTTATACAACAGGCGAGTTTCTAACAAAATCCACACGCGACTGAATTCGTCGATCACAAAAGCGGGTAAAATGCGTTTTCGACCCAATTTGATGATTACAAAGGTGGATAAAATTCATTCACGAGCCCCAAAAGTGTAAAGGGTAAAAATCATCCTCGACCCAAAATGCGTCAACATTGACTTTAACTCGATAAAGCGAGGTTTTGGGGTCAACTGTCATAAGAGGCGGGTTCAATCTCAAGGCGATCCAAAATTTGTGGACACACTTGAATTAAGTTGAACACACATGACTTTCTCTGACCAGTTTGATAAAGCGGAGGTAGTTTCTAACAAAATCCACACGCGAACCAATCCGTCAATCACAAAAGCGGGTAAAATGCATTCTCGCCCCCAAAAGTGTCAAGGGTAAAACTCGTCATCGACCCAAAAAGTGGCAACACTGAATTTAACTCGATCCAGAACTCGACAACAGCTACCGTGTAAAATTAGCTTGAACAAATATGAATTTGGGTTCAACTTTCATAAGAGGCGAGTTCAATTTGGGTTCAATCCCAAAGCGACCCAAAATTTGTGAACCCAAATGAATTAGCTTGAACACACATGAATTTCTCTTACCAGTTTAATAAAGCGGGCAAGTTTCTAACAAAGTCCACACGCGACCAAATCTGTCAATCATAAAAGTTGGTAAAGTGCGTTCTCGACCCAATTCGATGATTACAAAAGTGGATAAAAATATAATTCATTAACGCCCACAAAAGTGTCAAAGGTAAAACCGTCCTCGACCCACAATGCGTCAACACTGGATTTAACTCGATAAAGCGGGATTTTGGGTTCAACTGTCCTAAGAGGCGGGTTCAATTTGGGTTCAATCCCAAAGCGAACCAAAATTTGTGAACACACATAAATTTGTCTTGCCGATTTGATAAAGCGATTCGAGTTTCTAACATAATCCCAAAGCGACCCAAAATTTGTGAACACACATAAATTTGTCTTGCCGATTTGATAAAGCGATTCGAGTTTCAACATAATCCACACGCGACCTAATCAGTTTCTAACATTGGATTGAACTCGATAAAGCGGGGCGTGTTCTTAACAAAATGCACCTGGCCCTCTTCGTTAATTATAAAATCGGGTAAATTCGTTCTCGACCTAAAATTCTGATTCATCGATACCGGCTCGAATTAGCTTGAACACACATGAGTTTGGGTTCAATTGTCATAAGAGAAAATATTTAAAAGATGGGTAAAATTCGTTTTTGACCCAAAATTCGGCAACACAAAAAACTGGATCTAATTAGGTTTAATACACATGAATTTGAGTTCAACTATAAAGAAATAATTAAAACATTTGATTTATTAAAGTAAACAATAAAATACTCCTAGTAATGTGACTCTATCAAATAGTAACCCAAAACTTGTTGTTTTAAAGAGTTCAAGGTCGAGACTGAAAGATCTAAACCCCCCCCCCCCCCCTAAAGTCTCTAAAATCATTTGCATGCCCTATACAACAAAAAATAAAAAAAAACTGGTAAAAAATCATTTGCAAGGGATAGACTAAAAAAAGTAGTAAAACGATCGTAACTATGATCGATAAGCAAAGAAAAGACAAAAAAAACTTGCTCGGCCCAAAATTCATTAATATCGAGTTCAACTCAGTCTATTGATTTAAGTGTGTAAAACTCGCTTACCCGTGTTCAACCCATTGATTTAAGAGTGTAGAACTCGTTGTCGACCCAAAATTTGTAAAACCGAGTTCAACTCGCTTTAATCATGTCGAATTAGGTCGAACACCATTGATTTGGGTTCAATTAGGATTCAATTGTCATAAGTTAATTGATTAGAATCTTAATAGCATAAAATTAATTGATTAGAACCTTAATGACATAAAATTTCTCTAATCTTTGGTCAATTACAAAATGATCATCCCTTGTGATGTGACTCTAAGTAATAGTATCCTTTTACTTGTTCTTGTAATTGAAGAATTTTTTCTTAAATTTGTCCCTCTTTTATGTTCTACACAAATTTGTCATTATGTTATCCCCATGGTATCAAACCTGCGATTCTGTGAATATTTCTATCCAGGGTTCTGCTAACTTCGATTCGACCAGTACAAAATGAGAGGGGAAATGGCAAATTTACTCCTACCTTTTTCTTACCTCCATTCCTCTGATTTACCCTCCATTTTTCTTCCCTAATAATATTGGTAAAAGAGAAAGCTAAAGATACGATAACACCAATACCAAAATAATCTGAATCGCTATTCTTCGTCCTAAAATTTAAATTTTATCATCCTAAAATAGACTAAATTGACACATTTATCCCTAGCCCTAATTTCTAACTGAACACTAAATAACGCTCACTCCAAATCTGGACAGAAAAATTTGACACCCACTTCCCATGGCTGCCGCCGCCCACCACTCCGATTCCGGTATATTCTCTAAATTAGGAGGAGGTTTCTCCTCCTGTGGCTGCTGCTCCTTGTACTGCCGCCGCCCCATTGCTCCTGCTCTCTTGCTCGTGAGGAGGAAGAAGGAAGAAGGAAGAAAGAAGGTTGATCGTGAGGAGGAAGGAGGAAGAAGGGTAAGCTTGACTATGAGGGATGGATTGTTTTTCCATCCATTTTATTAGTCTGTATTTAGTGATTCTTTTCTTTGTAGTGTTTTTTGCCCTGTATTTGGTCATTTCTTATTGTCAATCGTAATCATCAGTATATAGGACACTACTTTTGTTTTTGGCTTTATCGGTAGAATTAATTTGTTTGTTGATCATTTGGTTTTGGATTTAAGTGTTTAAAATACAAATAAATGAAAGAAGGGCATTAAAGTAAAATGAACTTAATTAGGGCGACAAATAAGAATTTTTAGGCCGACGAATAGCAATCCCAAAATAATAACACAATGATAATCGACAACCAGAGAGAATTGAGAAGTGGCCACATTTGTGGAATTGACATTTTATATGGTTTAGTTAATAGCTTAACCAAAGTTAACTGTTTTGGACGGAAAACTTAACAGAATATTAAGTGTTTTGTATATTGTTGCTATAATAGAGGGTCAAATTTGATTTGACACATAGTAAATGGCAGGTTTGAGAAAATACAATAGTAGAAGGGCAGATTATGCTATTAACCCTTTTTTTATGTATACTTTAGAATTTTTTATTCAATAAGTTGAAATAAACTTCTCATATTGTCTAATTGGTTAAATACCATTTAGTAAATTAATAAATGAAGGGTTAGTGGTTCAATACTTAGCAAGTAATTTTTCTAATTATTGTTTGAAATCAATTAAGTATTTTTTAAAAAGCGTAACTCATTAGAATTAAAGTTTTTTCTGTCAATATTTGTTGATGAATTAAACCATACATCGTCAAGTCAAAACAATATTTACTAAATTAATTTTTGACTTGAGAGTTCAATATTTTTATCA